ACATATACACATATATACGTATATACATACACACACATATACACATACATACACATACATACACATATGGGTTGCAACTTACGATTATTTTAATAATCAATTAATCTGGCAATTATTTTTTCGATTAATCGGATATTAATGGGCCAAAAAAGGCGAGTGAATAAAAACGTGTCTTTAGTCTTGCAAACTATACCACCCCTGCTTTACTACCGTTATTAACGAGCTAACACTAACTTGTCAAGCTGGATAACGAGTAAACACCAGCACCAGAAAAGCTACTGGAGGGACGTTACGTTCCTCACTTCAAAACGGAACAAAAGTAGGATTCTGTTGTGATTTACCCTGCTGTTGAACTCCCTTCCTCCTCATCAAGGACTCCAACATGTTTACGTTGTTGAATCAGGAAATAAATACTGTAGCCGTCTGTGTTCACCCAGAGCTCTACTATACCTCATATCAATAGAGACCGGACCAAACTATGTGTATAAATGTGTGTGTGTGTGTGTGTGTGTGTGTGTAAACCATATGGTACAAACAATGAATAGACGCTGCCGTATTTACGTCTAGATGACGTTATCCTGAGTGTTGGTGGAGCTGCTACAATGTTAGCATAGCCTAGCACCGATCCATCCGAGCTCCATTGAGAAGACAAGTAGCCTACAAATCGGCATCACTACGTAGTTATTTCGGAGTCCCTTTTTGTCGGTTTATTGCCGTTAAATCACAGCCAAATCAGTTTATTTTGTGTTGATACAGCTGTAGTAAATAGCGACGTGTGGCTTGCTAGACACAGTGAATACAGCTCGATAAAATCCATAGAGCTCCTCTGGACAATGTTATGAACCAGACATGACGGCATTTAGTTTCCCGGGATATCTGGGACTTCCACAACACGTACTGAGCAGAAATAGAGGTTATTTTTTCCATGGTTAATGGCGGACAGTTGAACGGCTTTCGGGGCATAAGCCTCTCCGGCGGGTTCAGCGCGAATGAACACAAATAGTCCCCGGCGAGACCGGCGGCGCAAATGGCACTCAACTCAACTTTTTTTTTTATACTCAAACATCTCCGCGACTTATTGAGTGGCGTAATAATCGCGCGACACAACAAATCGATAATGAAATTCGTTGCCAACTCTTTTAATAATCGATTTTTATCGATTTTAACGATTCGTTGTTGCAGCCCTAATATATATATATATATATATATAAAAGATAAAACTTTGAGTTTAATGTGTGATGATTTGGCTGTAACAGGACATGCTTGAAAATAAGGTGTAAATGATAGTGTGACTTACTTTTAGCTGTCCTACTACCATACTCAAGATGTTGCAGTCCGGAGTTGGCTGGTGGTCCTGCACTGTTATACTATGCACTATTTTTGGGAAGGGTAGACTCTGGCACACACAGACGGGGGGGGGGAAGAGAGAGAAAGGAAAATGAATACAGATATATCAGACACTGAAAAAATAGAAGAAATCAAACATATCTTTGCATTTAAATGCGTTACTCCTCAAAATAATCTGGTTTCTTGGTTGCACTTAAACATACTGACTGACATTGCCAGTGTGTTTCTCAGTTGGGCCACCTGTTACACGTTTCTCGAATATTTTACCAGATTAACTCACAATGAGTTTCCCAACGATTGCCTTTTTTCCCTGGAACTGCTGTCCTTCCCATGTGAGGCATGACTCGTCGATCTGTTTGGAGCAAGACAGAGAGAGATGGGGGGTGGGGGGGGGGGGGGGTTACAGAGGATGCTATTTACAGATAATAAAGGTCTACCAAATAGGGCCACATCAAAAAAAACTCAACAAGTGGTACTAGCTTCGCTCCCTTCAGGGGCCATCAGCTTGAGATTGTTAATGGCACTAATTCATGACTACGTTGTGTATTGTTTTCTTAAGTACATTGTAGATAAAAAGGTCAGATGTGGACAATTTGATGCGTGATAATTTTACCTCTCACTCTCGAAAGAATAATCGCATATGGCGGTCGAATTTGTGACCATTTTGGTCACAGTCTGGAGCCCTGTGGTCACGTTTTTCCCCCTCCTAAATCGCAATAATGACGAATGTTAACAGTCGACAAAGTTTTGCACGCAGTGGACGTTAGCCCTAAGTTGGAGGGAAATGAAGACGGTGTAGACATGTTAACGCTGATTGGCCAAGACTCGACACGTCACTTCAAAGGTGTTTTATTGCGAAGATGCCGTTTTCTCCTCGTCTCACTCCAATCTGAGAAGCCCTGGCTGGCCAGATCGCAAAGTCAAATAAGCAAAGATTCAGTTTTTCCTCACACCCTTGACTGAGAGAAGTCCTAACATGCGAGAAGCTGGAACCGGAGATAAGTCGTTTTTGCTTTCAACACAACCGAAACGAACAAGTGATTATAAGAATATGATTCAACTTCTGTCCATCGAATAATAGATTAACTGACCAATTGTTCAATACATAGATTTTGTGTCTAAAAGTGCTCATAATGAATTTGTTACTGATCAAGTGAGACCACATAAAAACAAGCCCCACTCCATTGTCAAGCAGGCTCTGTCTGGGATTACCTAGTGTTGGACGTACTAAAGATCTTGTTACACTTGTGTTGCATTCATATTCATAAAGGAAAGTTAATTCATAAGTGCAGCCCAGCAGTACGACATCTCATAACTGGACAAAAGCGTTGTTCCGTCACACTCACATATATGGTTCCGAGTTGTGATCTGTCCGAGTCAAATAGTTGATAGTAGTGCTGCACAAAGCTGGATCCTATCTGCTCCCACAGAGGCTGGTCCACCATCCTGAATCACCCTGCAACACACACTGGGAAGATGGAGAGACAGAAGGGGAGCCGTTTCAGAAATGTTTTCTCAACCATTTACAACAAAAATGCATTGTAAATACATTACAATACATTATAACCTTCCAGGCAGAGAGTACTTGTATTCACTTGTAGCAAAAGTCCAGCGTATACCCTCACGCTGTACAAACCAACAGAAAAGAGGCAGAAATATAGCTAACCTATCAGGATCACATATTTAAACAAAGTTACTCAGCAGACTTACTTTCTGTAAAACAATTAAGTGACTACTTCCTTGATACTGACAACAAAGAACGATAACAAGTTACAAAAATAAGAACGTACGAGTACAACCACACTATATAAAAAAACAAGCATTAAAATGACTATCACCAGCACAGTTTTACTAAACGCACTGCTGGTCTCTCCATTTAGATGACAGTGACAGCACAAGTCATGTGCTTCAACATAACTATACACTGGGACAATCTGAGAGCTCTGGAAACTAGCGATTAAGTATATTATATAAAGACCTAAATAGTCCTTGGTCCGCTGAAAAGCAGTTAAGGCTAGGGGAGAAGAACACACGCTTGTTTAATAACGTTTTCAAAGGGGAAAGCTCTTGTAACCGTATGGCTAGTTAACGTAAGCTAACTAGCTTGCCGCTACTACTAGCATGTGAGCTGTCTTGTTTGCTAACGTTAGCCTGTGTTGGTAACAGCTCCTATCCCTAGCATGCCTCTCCACCAGCTAATGTTACACGTCAGATACATCATATTTCCAGGCGTTAGCTAACTGACTGGCTGGCTGGCTGGCGTTCGCCATTTCCCTGGTTGCTAAAAATACCCCGTCTCCGCCAAGTGTTGATGCTTCCCTCCGGGCCCGCGCGCACAGCTACCCTACATAGGCGTGCCCAACGTTTTCCCTAACCCGGGTAGGAACAGCGAATTAAACTACTTATAACACCTGGTACTTGTTCGAATGTCAGACTAAACTATCACTTTTTGTTTTTCGCATATGTTTCAATTCACTATTCCCCAAGACGGCTTCTTAAAAATAATTAAAATAAACTTACCTCTAACCAACACCGAGGCCTGCTTCACGATGGCACAGTGAAGTGTCCGCTTCTCTTCGAAGTCACGCATTCAAAAGCCGTACTAGCCCCGGTGGTTTGTGGGGATTGTAGTCGATTCAATTTTCGATATTTGATTCGTTTCGAGGTCTCACTATTGTAGTGAGACCTCTAGTTATGGCCATGCTAATAAAGCCATTTGAATTTAGTATAGAAATAAATAAATAAATAAAAAGCTGGCGTTGTGTTTTGTCTGTGTAAAGCGATAACAGAGAACACGTAGTTTAATTTGATTATCTTATCGTCTATGTCATATTGCATACATTTGCTTTTTGTGATATGAATATATAAATATTGGAAGAAATTTGCTGTGGGCCCCTATTCAGCCACTTAGTTCAACTAAATTGTGTTGGTCTCTCTAAACTCCACATTGACACTTTGGATAGAATAATGTGCATACAGCTTTAACCTCTACAAACCATAGAAATGCAATAAAAGTAGAACAGACATTTGCCCAATCCCACTGTCCCTCCTAAGGCCTTAAACCCTGAACCCTCGGGGACTTCACTGACATCACCTGGTCAATGGTTGAGTGTGAGAGGCTTTAAGGGCAGGAAATGGTGTACATGCATATGGGACAGCACTTTGCTGTCATAACATGTTATGTACAATTGTGGTCATTTATTTAATATTTCTTACTCCTTGATTTGAACATATTACAGGCTCTTGTCTTACGAGATGAGAGGTAGTTATCAAATAATCGTTTTACTCGTTTTTGTCAAAACAGCTTTAAAAACAAAATGAAAAGAAACAGTTGATGAATAAACCGGGTGTGTAATATAGTCCTCTGCTCTCATGTGTTTTTATGTTCCATCTTTAATCCTTAATGTTTCTATATAAATGTAATATGCCAGGCTGAACCTGTTTTTACGTATCTGGCATTCACATTTAACCCAGCGTTTGACATCCCGACGCTATGAGTTGTGGGTAATTCCCTTAGGCATAGTCTGCAGAAATGCGGACTTATGGAAAGTTGTCATAAAGGGCTCAAAATGTCTGTGAGAGAGCCCTCAAACATGCGACGATTTGACAGTGGGACAGCCCTAAACCCTCACGGACTTTGCAGGAAAATGCCTCAAAGTCTGTGAGTCCTTGAGTGTGTTGATTGGGTTTGGGCTATTCCCATTCAACTCAACATAGTAGGATGGTCAGAGCGGCGGCCATTTTTATTTGTATCGTTGCCATTGCGACCCTTATAGTGGGCTAACTTTTCCATAAACTAAACCGACTTATGGCATGTCATGGACTCACTAAGGCGAGGTTTTGCAGTAACTATCAAATCAACTTGTGGAGTAGTAACATTAGGAAGAATGGACAAAGTAAATGAGTACATTTTAACAACTTAATGCTTCATCCACACGTACTAGCGTAGGAAAGCGCATTGCTATCGCCGGATAAAGCATGGTGGAATTTACAAGCTTACAAGCTAATTCCGCCAGGGCTAGTTCGCTGGGTCTAACAGTCACGCCGCCTTACTCCCCGCTGCTGCCTAGCTAACTATCCAGCCATCCAGGCAAGCTGCTTTATGGCCCCACTGACGTATTGTCACCGTAACAACTGACAACATTTGCCATTTTCTTTTGTACTAGTCAAATGACCACAGAAAAACAGTTCAACGTCCATTCTACTTCTATTCTATTTCTACGCTACAAACAGACGACACAAAATTCTTCTTGGGGAAGTTGGGGGGAAACTGATTTACCAAGAGTTCCCAAGTAGGAACTCAGACTTGTGAAATAAACCAAATGGTGGGAGTAGCGTTCCATTTTAGTTGTTGTAGTAGAAGTATAGAAATGATCAAGCTTTAAGTTTTTGGACTTAGCCCTAATCAGGCATCTTTGGTTACCACTGCTTCTTGTCGGAACCGACTTACCGTGTACCGAACCTGTTTTGGATCTAACTCTTGTCTCTGAATCATGTTTTTGTGTGTAGTTCCTTTGGTGTTTCTCCAGCCGTCACAGTGCAAACACACCTGACAAGGGCAGAGTCTAAAAACATAAAAAAGCAAGGCCTAATTAACACAGGGAGTGTTCGAAGAGAAACGGCGGCAACGCAAGACACAGAGGTGCTAAGACAAACTAGCCCAAGTGAGGGGAGCACAGATAATTGCACGAAGGAAAGGAGGGTGATAACGAGGGACAGGTGATTGCAACGCTAATAACAGACAGGTGGAGCTAATTAGGGGGGGGCAGACAAAGTACAAATGGCGGGAATCACACAAAAGACAGGAATCAGAATCAGCTTTGTTGGCCATGTTACGCTTACGCATACATGGAATTTGACTCCGGTTTTTCGAAGTGATCTGGAACGAGAAGAGCGGTGAGTCACGAAAAAAAACAGGAAACACAAAAAAAAGACAGAATAAATGACATGAAACAAAGGAAAAGCGTAAGCTAGGTGCGGGGCAGATCATGACACTATTTGTGCGTTCCATTACTCATACTATCATACCTGTATTTGGCATGTATTTGGCAAGAAAAATATTTAGTGCGTCCCAATATGTCAAATGCAGTATGCCAAAAATACCAGGATGTTCCGGTCGCATTTTGCAGTGTGCAAGCCAGCATGCCTTTCTAGCTATTCTGACCCACAATCCTTTGCGTGCAAAGGCTCTTGGGGTGGCAATGTCCGTCTGTTGGTTGTCAATCCATCACTTAATTCCAGAATGAAAGCTCAAAAATTCATTAGGTGGTCGGACACACTTCCCTACAAACTAAAATGAATGATAATGTTGCTCTGTACCCGCTGGATGTGTGAATAACCAACTAACAATCAAGCATAATCAAGTTTGAAGGCGATGATACGTCAGTGTTGTGTTCACAACATGTTTCTGCTGCCCCTATGTGGCAAAAAAGCAGTTATTTCAGGTTTTAAAAAGATGATAAATTGAATTAATAAACAATAAAACACTTATTTGGTTCAGTATGCTCAGAGGTTTTGCTTCTGAAGCCCTAAACACCTCGTTCCGAAACTCCACAGGTTAGGTTTTGTACAATATAGCGGCCATGTGTCTTGTTAGAATGTTTTCTCACACTATTTTTGATTTGTATGTGAGATAACATTTTTCTGTGTTATGTCTGGGTTAGATGTGTGAACAGGTTTTGTAAGCATGTACTTTAATTTTCAGCCTTTTTTACAAAAGCTGTGCAGCTCGTAAAGTTTGCCTCAGAGTGAAGTCTGTCACTTTAAGAAATTACATTTAAAGTTATAGATAAAAAAAAAAAAACTGTCACAATGTATATAAAAACGTCTAAATCCTCTGCATGCATTTTACATTGTAAAAGAAAATGAGACTATCTTCTGGCAAATTGACATGGCAACATTTTGGGGGGAAAAGACTGGAAGACATCTTCAAACACTCAACAAGAAACTGTAGAATTTGCATTTACAGATTACTGTCCATGGCTGAAAAGAGTTTATCTGGGGTGGCCACTTTATCAAAAACAGCACCCATTCATTAATCTCTTTCTCCAGACCATGTACTTCAAGGGCTTTTGAGGCCGGCCCGTTTCGACACTTTCTTTATACAGATGCACCATCTGCACTGCTATCTATCTGCTCTCAAGCTGTAAGAACTGCAACACACCAGAATGAATAGTGTGGCCTGTTGGTGTTTCACAGGTTGTGGTGAAAGTAAGTAAACGTGTAAATACATGCAGTACACAACATGTGAATTATATCAGCTATACTCTAATATATCTTAATTTAAATGCTATCTTTGTAGAAGTACAAATTTTCTGTCTCCACTCCTGTGTTTACTCTGATGAACCGGCAGTTGTTAGATTTGTTGAGACTTAGGCCTCCACTGACTTGTTACTTGACCCACTGACGTGTTTTCGTCTTATTTTCATGGACATCGCATTGACTTACATTAATTTCCTGGAGACCCTAACCATGACCTCTTCCAACCAAACCCTAACCTTACACCGACTCTTCACCCTGAAATTTGATGATTTACGTTAATTTTGTGACCATAAGGAAGGCGAGTCCTCACAATGTAACTGTGTAAACAAATTTATGTCCCCACAAGACATGAAAAACACGCCCGCCCACCCACCCACCAACACACACTCAGGGATTAAATGTATAGCTATTAGTAACCGGTAAAGCTTTTCATGAAAAATGACAAATATATTGGAAATGAACATGTATTTCAAAGTTGTAACGAATAGCTTATATGCGTGCAATAAACATACAAATAAAAAACCATCCGACTGACCATTAAACATTCATAGTGATTTATTTATTTTTTGACAAGTTGCATTAGGCAACCCACTCTATAAGGCACCCATGGTTATAATAACGTCACAGGGTCAGGGTCAGTCAAATCACATTTCCTCAAACAAATCTACATTGTGAGGCTTCTGTTGTAGCTCCCACTACAATGGAGGTTGATGACACTGTTTTATTTTAAATCAGCAAAAGCAGACAGTGATATTGCAATATTACTGTACATACATTTTCAGTTATTTAAATATCAGAAATTGTTAAAAAAAAAGTGTTGTGGAGACAATCAATTATCTGTGATTCAAGAATTGAGGTTGCATACACCATTGGTTTTCTGACATGACCTTAAGCCGGCAAGTTGTCCCACCTTCTTCACAAACAATCCATAAAATGTATTCGATAACATTATATCAGTCGCTGGCTGGACAGGTATTTGATGCAGCATTTTCCTCTGATTCTTCTAGAGCTGGAGGTAAGGCTCTTGCACCGGATTCTGCCAGCTGTTGGAGCATTAAAGTCAAGAGATAAAATCTTAGACAATGAGCAGAAGCCCATTCAAACTCAAAAATACAGTTAATTCAGAAAGTATTCCGACCCCTTCACTTTTTGCACATTGTGATAGGTTGCAGCTTTACGTCATGAGACCGTATATGTATATATAGGTGTGTTCCTTTCCATATCAGCTGAATTTACAACAGGTGGACTCCAAATAAGAAACATCTCAAAGATGATCCAGAGAAATGGGAGACACCTGAGCTAGTTTAAAATAAGGAAAGCGCCATAGCAAAGAGTCTGAATGTCAATGTGATGTTTCTTTTTTTTTTCTCTTTAATAAGAAAGAAATTCTAATGTATTGTTTTTGCTTTGCCTTTATGAGGTATGGAGTTTATATGCTGAAGGAAAAAATGGATTCAAACGCACAAGGCATTGCAAAATGGGGAAAAAAAGTGATGGGGTATGAACATCTTCTGAATGCACTGTATATTGTCAATTGCTTCAATGACCACACTTTTTGTAAATATTTAAGTGTAATTCAATGTTTACACCCAATAAGAGCACAAAGGTCTTAGAGGGGACCGGGACAGATGCAGGCCGAAGATCACAGTTTGTGAGATAGATAAACTACAATCAGCCTGAGGAGACAGTGAAACCTCTGGTGGTACGTACCAGGCTGTGGAGTCTCTGAGAGGAGATGGTGTCATCGCTGTTGTCTGGTTCGCTTTGAGCCGAGTCCACAAGTTCTTCTATTTCCTGATCTGACTTCAGAGGGAACACTGTTCTCGGGGCCGTCCTGTACAAACATGCATGAACACAAAAGACTCTCTTTTGACAGAGGAAACCCGAGACAGAGAAAAAAAACTATTTTTTTCTGCTAAAGGATGTATTTGTGAAGTTTTCTTCTGAATTGAGGGTCTAATGATAGAGGGTGACATTCGTTGTTGTTGTTAATCTATGGAAATAAAACTTCTGTGACTGCAATTGTGTGTGTGCTTCTGTTTGCATATATTTTTTTATCACCTAAACTCCTGGACGGTGTGTGTGCCGCTCTTAGGGGCATCGGAGTTGATCTGGTCTTCGAGGTGGTTGGACTGAATCTGGCTTTGCCCATGAAACAAACTCTCCTCCATCTGAAAAATAAACAAACAGCTTTTACGAGAAACAGTCCCAACATTTTGGAAAAAATGCTTATTTTTCCTTTATGCCAAGAGTTATCAGAGAAGGTTGATTCTACTCTGGTGTCTGTCAGTTCAATATGAAGCTGGAGCCTGGAAATAGTTAGCTTAGCTTAGCATAAGTAATGAAACTGGGGACAGTGTTTTCATTCTTTATTTTTTCTACGGATTTAATAAACAAGATATGCCGTGTTCATTAGTGATCTGCTGTGGCTGGTCAGCGGGTCTTTGTTTACCTTTGGAGAGAGCCAGGCTGTAGTGTTCCCTGTTTCTAGCCTTTATGCTAAGCTAAGGTAAGCTAAGCTAGCTGTGTCCCCTTACATTTAGTGTAAAATAGCATGGCTCTTTTGGTTATTTTTTGGGGCTGCCAAAAACCGAATTAGTTTCAAATTTGGAGAAACAACTCTGTACCTGTTGATCACAACCATCCCTTTTGAATATTGGGTGTTACCTGCACAGTGACAGGGTCGTGCGTCTCAATCCGCACGCTGCCTCTGCTGTGGAGCTCCAGCAGGGTGTCATACTCTCTCTTCAACTGGTCAAAGTCACCCTGCAGCGTCTTCAACTGGACACCGCAGACAATACAAAAACGACACCATGGTGGAGACTGTTAACATTTTGAAATCATGCATTCTGTGTATGTGTACATGCAAGTGTGTTCAGTGTGTACAGTATATATTTCTACATGTGGCCACCTGTAGGAGGTTCTGTTTGTGTTTTTGTTCCAGGGTGTCCCAGTTGCGTCTTGGCACGACATCCCAGTACTCCGCCTTCATCCTGTTGAGCTCCTCCTGGGCTTTAGTCAGGTCTTTCCAACACACCTTCAGAGCGAGCTGCAGCTCCACAGGGTCCTTAGCCCCTTCTTTCAATATGGAAACAAATTCCAGAACAAAATATTATATTGTTATATATTATATTTAAAAATTGACTGTATAGTTTAGATGAGCCTCTTATTTTGTTAAATTCCTAACATGAAAGGTATCGTTCATGTTAGCGCTAAGAATTTTTTGGGCAATGTGCCTTTGTAAATTGCTTTCTTGCAGAGAGTTGGATGACAAGATTGATACCGCTCTCATGTTTGGACGATAATATGAAGAGACAGCCAGGCGGACTATTTCTTGGGGTGCAGTGACTTCAAGTCAAGAAATAGTCCAGCACACAACTCCTGGTACTACCACACCTCGTCATTTTTTTTTCAACTCATTTTTGTATGGATAAAACTGACTCAATAAAATGTGTTGATTAGTGAGCTTCACAGTTGCCAGTAGGTGGGGCTTTTAACGTTGGACAAAGCCATAGCTGTTTCCCCCAGTTTCCAGTCTTTAAAGCTAAGCTAAGCTAAATGACTGCTGCTTCTCAGCAAAAAAGGTACATAAGCATATTTCCCCAAAACCTTAAACTATTTATTCAGACTTTGTCGGAGCCCTAACCACAAACCGTAAATCAGTGGGCAATGTTTTCAATAATAAATACTGTCTGCAACTGACAATTATTTTTATAATTGATTAATGTGTCCGTTATTTTCTTGTCTAGTAATAAATTAATCATTTGGTCAAAAATGTCAGAAATTGGTCAAATGTGCACATCACATCACACCCCAAAGTGACGTCTTCAAATGTCTTGTTTTGACCAACAGTCTAAAACCCAAACATATCCAGTTTACAATCACAGAAGACAAATGAAAACAGGAAATATTCTGATTCACTTTCAGTTAGTGGAGGAACTGAATCATCGAGTTACAGCTCCAGCTCTACCTGTGTTTTCATCTGAAGGATGCTCCCCCTTCACAGAGCCTCTTGTTACATCATTGAGCTGCCAGATCAGCAACTGGCGGGCATCGCGCTCCTCCCGGTACTGCAGGTACTGGTTGGACAGTTCAGACTGCAGACGGTCCACCTGGAAAGGAATAGAAGATATAGTGGCCTTATTATCTGCCGCATCTCAATCAAAGCTTTTTTTTGGGGGGGGGGGGGGGGGGATGTGTGTATATACGTATATATGTGTGTTTATATGTATGTGTG